TTGAAAGATGCAATCTATGTAATTACCCAACTTTAATGACCTTAACCTTAAGAATAGGATAGGGTCAGTATCTTATACCTCATTTGACCTACCATGATACCAAGCACAGGTTTTATTAATCATTACTGAAGAAAAAGACTGCTATTAAACACAGCTATCATATTTATGATCAGATAGGATCATGATTAGGTCTGTTTTGTGTTTCCATCATCTTATTTCAAAATGTAGTGATGCTGGTCAAAATGGCTAGTTTTTAGTATTGCATAGTGGGGGAACACAGTAAGTACTCTATAAATGCTTATTTTCATCTTTGCCTCAGAAGTACGACAAAGGCTCTAAATGGAGGATACCTATTGCCACCATTTATTGGACATGCTTTTTTTTTTTTTTAATCAAAAATACTCAGGCACTTCTGCTCTGCCTAGGAAGGCATTATTAGTCCATTATCCTCCTTTGGGCCTTCTAGCTTTGCCAACTTTGCAATAAAGGTGAGCCTTTTGCTTCAATGTAATGACAGATATTAAGGTTGGATGGCATCTCTTGCCATCAGCACTGAGGTTCCTGACCATTTAAGTCCTGTTAAAGTTGTTGTTCTTTCAAAAACATCATCAGTAATTTCAATTTAATAAAATAAAAAACAATGAAGCAATCTAAAATCTGTAACGGTTTCTACTCTGGCAAAGGACCCAACACATAAGGTAAGTTAATGTAAATTCTTAATTCTTAAATCTCAAAGATTCGTTCATTTTACCATGAGATGATTCATACAGGTACTTGGGGAATGCAGAACAGTTAGAGGTACCCTACTGACCTTTTACCTCTACCTACTTGTCTGTTAAAACCTATTATGGGTCTAGGGAGACAGGATGAGTATGCAAGTAACAAATGCTCTGAACCATCTAGACTAGGCTCAGTGTAGCTGTCAGGGTTTTAGGCAGAAATAAGCCCACCAGGACCTATCTAAAAAAGGATCTGAATTTCTTTATCAGTCCTGGGACTATCTACAGCTCCCTAATCGGCTGTAGGCATTTTGGGGTAATTTTGGACCAGAACAAACTTCTCTGGGCCAGCCAGACCCAAATCTCCACCATTAGGCTTCTTTCTGAGATCTGGGAATATGAACCTCAACATTTGTTGGCTTTTGTCTCCTCGAGGACAGATCCAGGGCTTCAACAATCTTGGGGCTTTAAGTTCACTAACAGTTTAGAGCCGTCTACTCTAATTCTCACTGCATTGCCCCAGTAGAAAACACTAACTCAAAGCAGCTTTATGTGCAAGATTTTAGAACCAAGCTAAAAAAAAGAAAAAAAAAGAAAAAACTTCTGACATCAATATGTATATAAAGTGGCAACATTTCAAAACTATGAATTACTTCAGAAACGTATTTTCAGAATGAAGACCAACATCAAATTGCCCTTTTCATAGTGAATTACTTTTCTCATATGGGCTCACACTCAAAAGCAAATGAAAGGTAAAGCCAAAATTCTATTTATTTTAAAGGATGCCAAAGCTAGATTAACTTTTTTTAAATTTAAAATGTCAAATAAAAAATGGTGTCTTGGGGGAAAAAAACACCATTAAATAGAACTAGATAAAGGCTTAAAAATGTAATAACAATACAGGCTTAAATTTTTTAAATATTTTTTATATCTGGCTTCTTGCAAATTTGGCTAAAACACCCCGCTCCCTTAAATCATCCCATATCTACCAACATGTCTGGTTTTTTTTTTTGCTGGATCACAAGCCAAATTTGTAACTTTTCAGAAGTGAAGTAGAGGTTATTGAACTGGACTCTTCCTTTGGCACTCTCTGACATATTCCACTAAATAAGATTTATTTATGTTGATAAATACCCCATTTAAAAACAAATTCATCTTGGAAAGGTGAATTCTATATTACCTTTCAATTAAGCCTCAAGGAAGAGAGGGAGGGATGAACGGACAAAGGAAAGAAGGGAAGAAGAGAGAGAGGGGAAGAAATAATTTGAGAAACAAAGGCTATCTAGGACTATCAGGATAAGACAGAAGAGGATGGGGGAACCATGCCTTAAGTGAGGTAGGGTAGGAAACCAACCAGAAAGCCTTAGACTTAAGTACATAAAAGGAGAACAAAAAGCCTTCACTGGAGACACTGGAGATTGTGTACAGTCCAGGCAATAAAAGCCACACACGTTACACCAGTGCCACAGAAAGACACTAGATTAAACAATTTATAGAGTATAGCAAAGTAATATTATGGGTGATAAAGTTATCAGTAAATCAGAACTGGTATGCAGAAGGCATGAAACAAAGTTTACTCAAAGATTTAAAGAGCTCCATTCTGAACAGTTTACTGAAGATTCTCTTTACTCCAATGTTAAAAGGTTTTTTGCCAGGTTTCCAATGAGAGTCTCACCCAAGGACCACATATTCAGGTGGAAGAAATAATTACAAGAGCCACATGTTTATCAGTATTTAAAGCATGTGGCCCAAAATATACTCTGAGCTCTAATTTAAAGTTCAATGTAAGGCTTTATTTGTCGAATCCTCAGAGCTGTTATTTATTGGTCGTCTTGCTATGTTTTAATTAGCCATAATATAAGGCAGAAAAGAGATTATTTAAAAATGAAAGGTTTCCTGCCAAACTGCTTTGCTACAAACCAGCAAACATCTTTACTAAACCACTAAACTTTGCTCCACTTCTATCCTTCACTCAATATTTTTGAAGCCATCAGCTACTATACATGCATCAAATGCTAGGAGCTGAAGATAAAAAAATTGAACAAAACAAAACAAAAATTGAACAAAACAGAATCCCTGCCTTTGAGGCAATCATAGTCATATGGCAGAAAGAGACATGAACAGATACTACCTGATGAAGTTTTACAGTAGGAGATGAACAGAGTATAACACAAACAAAGTGGTAAAAGCCAAAGTCTGCCTGGAGGACTATGTTAAGCCTGTTCAGGAGAATTTGACATTTAAATTCATCTGCAATGAGGCAGTTAGGCTAGTCAATCTGTAAGGTCCCTTCTATTAAAAAAAAGGGGGGGGGGCAGGCAGGACAAAAAGTTGAAGGTCACAGAAATCTTTTTTGTCAAAAATGACTGGTACAGCCCTAGCTGGTTTGGCTCAGTGGCTAGAGCATCAGCCCTCGGACTGAAGGGTGGGGCTCTATTCCAGTCAAGGGCACATACCTCAGTTGCAGCTTCTATCCCGGGCCCTCCTCGAGACTTGTGCAAGAGGCAACTAGTCAATGTGTCTCTTTCACATCACTGTTTCTCTCTCTGTGTCTCTCCCCCTCCCTTCCACTCTCTCTAAAAATCAATGGAGCCCAGATGGCATGGTACAGTGGTTGAGCATCAACGTATGAACCAGGAGATCACAGTTTGATTCCCGGTCAGGGCACATGTCTGGGTTGCGGGCTCGATCCCCCAGTAGGGGGCATGCAGGAGGCAGCCAATCAATGATTCTCATCATTGATATTTCTATCTCTCTCTTCCTCTCCCTTCCTCTTTGAAATCAATAAAAATATATTTAAAAAATTTTTTTAAATCAATGGAAAAATATCCTTGGTGAGGATTATCAATAACAACAAAATGACTGGTGCAGACAATTCCAGTTTGTTGGTTATTAATCTAATTTCTATCAAAAAGAGAGTATTTGTAAAACCTTCACCTTCTCTGCCAAACTCGTCCTCTTCCTACACTCCTTCTCTCAGTAAATACTAATACCACCTAAAACTTAACCTTCTATAGCAAACTAATCACCTATTTCTATTGCTTATACCCTATCCTATCTCTTTATTCTGTCTACTTCTATCTCCAATGGCCCCTATCATCTCTTACCAAGGAGGCTTCCAATAGCCTCCAAAAGAGTGTTCTTGTCTCTGAGATCCCTTCTTCTAATCAACCAATTCTTCAAACTGCAGCCAAAGTGATCTTTCCAAAACACAAAGTGGATTGTATGACAACCCATCTTCAAATCATCCAACTGCCCCTATTGCTCTCAGAAAAAGTCGAAACTCTTCAGCATAGCTGTCAACCTCTGGCCTGGCTTGTCTTAGGCAACAATCTTTCATACTCATATTGAAAATCTTGAAGTTCCTTCAATATACAATGCTCACTCACCATCCTCTGTAGAGCCTTCCAAGACTCCCTCAAAAAAGAATCAGGGGACCCTCCAAAGTAATATTTCAGCATCCCTGCTTCTCCATTACCATACTCACCATACTTACATAGGATTTTTAATTACCTGTCTGTCTCCCCAGGAGGTTGTAAGTTCCTTAAGGACAGAAACTATTTTATGCATTCTTATATTTTCTATGTAAAGCATTATGCCTGCCTGACAGACATACAGTTCATGCTTGATAAAGATTTGCTGAATGCATGAATAAATGAACAAAACTACAAAGAAAGAGAAATTCAATGTTGTACAATTTTTCATAATATGTATTAGCTACACTACAGAAACCTAATACTTTAGCAAGACCATATTTAAGCCATGAACCTATCACAATAGACCTGTTTTCACAGACAGAAACAAAGGCTATACCATAAACTCAAAACTGAAACAAACTTAAAAAATGTATTTCCAGTTTGGATAGTATAAGCTTACCATTTAAGGCATTTTTTGGAGAAAATACATATATAGCAGAATCATGATATGCTATACATTTTTAAAAATATATATAACTACAGCTCTGGCCAGTGTGGCTCAGTTGATTAAGTGTCATCCTGGGCACCAAAAAGTTGCCAGTTTGATTCCTGGTCAGGGCACATGCCTGGGTTGCAGCCTCAATCCCAGGTAGGGGACGTGCAGGAGACAGCTGATCGATGCTCTGCTCTCACATCAATGCTTCTCTCTCCCTCTCCCTCCCTCTCTCTCTAAAAATCAATAAAAAGATTTAAAAATATATAATATATATATGATTACATACGCATTATCACATTATTTTCACAGGTAAGATGTTGAGTTTGCTTTTTAAACATAAATGAAAATTGCACCTCATCAATGACTCACCGATTCTTTTCCAGCTCATTGTGTGTAGACCTAAAAGGAAATGAAAAAAAGTGCATTAGCCATGTTTTGTTGCTAAGGCTTTAGAAAGGAGGAATTAGTTTAGTTACCTGCTATACCACATTCAGTGAATTTATTTAACAATGCAATATATGATCAGACTTCTATAATCTCACTCATCAAGAAGAAATAGACTGTTCACTCAGATATAGTATTTTCAGTTAATATCTCTAAACAGTCTGAAACTGGAGTTTCATTGTTATTTTAATAAAGTTAATACTAGCACATGTTCTTTTCTATTTCTACTATCCCACATTTTGTTGATTTGCAGACATTATATCAGAAACTTTAATTCACATATAACCTCATTTTTGTTTAAAACGAGAAAAAAAAGTGTATGTACTTCTATGTCCTCTCCCATCTCCACTTACTCCTAAACATAGGGAGAAAAGGTTTTGGCAGCTCAGAAGCTGAAACAGCCTTGCCTTACTCCTAAGTTACACAGACAAATTCAAGTCTTCCTGCCTTTTGTGTAAAATATAAACAAGGAAAAGTTATAAGAGAGAAAAATAACATAAGCAGAAGATATAATATTAACATAAGGGAACACATTTTAAAGAGACTGGGAGGATATACCTCAAAGTGCTAACAATGGTTGTTTTCTTTTCGTGACTTTTTTCATTTTGCTTATCAGTATTTGTTATAATAATACCATCTACTGAAGAAGCATAGTGTCTGCTAAAGAATGTGCCAACCAGTTAACACACATTATCTCATTTTATCCCCTAAATAGCCCTTGTTTTATAAACAAGATTACTACGGCTCAGAAAGGTCAAGAGAGATGCTCTTGCCCCAAGAGTATAAGTGGTAGCCATGACTTAAGCCCAGGTCTTTCTTATTCCAAACCCCAAGTTCTTAACCACCTGGTGACAAGGAACACTGAAGGGCACAGATTCTACGGCCAGACTGCTTGGGTTCAAATACTGTGTGGCCTTGTTAACGTCCCTTAATTTCTCTGTGCTGTTTCCTCATCTACGAACTAGGAAAAATAATAATACTTGCCTCATATTACTGTTATGAGGAATAAACAAGATTACACTGGACAGAATATAATAAACTCTAAAGTTAGCTACTATCAGAACTATGTTATACTAGTTTTCTTGAATGAACATGTATTACTTTTACAATAATTTAACATTAACAATAGCAGGACTTCTATAAAGGAGAATTTAAGCTCCTATCACTAGAACTAAAACTTTTAACCATTTAATATAGTGTATTCTGGTTAATGTTAAATGCCTTCACAATATTACATTACTGATTACTTTAATCTGATTTTTCAAATGGATGTTTAATAATCAAATTTCTAAATTTTAACAATAGGAGCGTTTTTGTCAGTCTCATAGTTTTGTGGAAATTTTACCCACTGTCTTAGTTCAAGAGCCACAAGGCTTCCCTGAGTTCCTGTCTCCTGTCCATCTTTTGCTTCCTTGGCAGTTTCATAAGGTCCAAGTGACACAGGATAAAAAAGACTGACATTCATTTTTAAGAGATTATCTTAATTCAAGGACTTCTCCATCAAAGGAGGTAAAAAAAAAGAATCTTAGGATTCTTCAAGAGTTCAGCCAAATTAAAGGCAAAGATATGTACAATTCAGATGGAAGAAACTATAAAAACATTGAACTTTTAGTCTAACAGAGACACAAGAGTTCAATACCCAATAAGTAAATTATTTTACAACTATATATCTCTTATCATATATGTATTTATAAAAAGTTTTATGTTGTTTTTTGTTTGATTGAAATGTCAAAGTAAGTCAATAAGTTAGAATAGGAAAAAGGCATTTTAAGGAGATTTAAAACAAAGAAATATTATTCAAAATTTGAATGGGTAATCAATAATAAAATTTCCCACTCCCTCTTAGTAAGTTTTGGTTTAATTACCATTATCTGAGAAGAAAACTCAGAAAAAGTAAAATGAAAACAATGTAATACTAGAGTAAGTAATAAATGGTAACAATCTATTTAGAAAGAAGTAGACTGTGTACCATAAATGTATTCTAAACAGTTCGGCAATCCCATATATGGCTATAAAAACAAAATATACCCAAAGATAACCAACTGTTGAATTCCAATATTATATTGAGCCTATTATCAAAGGAGCACCAAAAGAACATAATTTGTCCCCCTGCTGTGAACAAAATTTTAACAGCAAGTTCTCACCTCTCTCAGATTTTTATTTATCATTTATCCTCTATCTAAAAAATATAAAATGATAGCTAAGAATATGAACTTTTTCACCAAACCAGGAAATACATGCCATATCTAGTTATACCACTAGCAAAATTAAACAAGATTTCCAAATACTAAGAAGCAAAAATGATCACATATGTACAAATCTTTATCATACTGCCATGTTCTTCAAATTAAAAAAAAAACTCCATCAGTAGTGTTTACTCCTATTTTGATGGTTGTTCTTTGCCTGTAATCTCAAGTCAACAAATACTGAGTATCTTAAATGTTCAAAGCTGTCTTATTCTGTGAGGACAAATTCTAACCTCGCTGATGAACAGTTTCCTCATATGTAAAACTGAAACGTTAGCTACTGCAAATATTCTTATTATTTTAATAAGTACTGGTATTATTAAGTATTATGTATACTACATGGGACAAACTGACAGGTTCCCAGTAACACCCGGAATTAGCTTGAAAATAAACAAACCACCATAATGATGAAAAAAGAAACTGAGAGAAAAGATTGATATTTTCATTATTTAGTCAGCTGTGAGGACAGTACAAGATTTAGGGTATGACAGAGAGAAAGACGCCTAACTATATGTACACAGAGAAAATAATAATCTAAATAATGCTAGCAACAAATGAGTAATTGAACTTATCACATACTGCCACACTCAGAAACAATCTCTTTGCTCTTCTGAGCCTGTGTGTCCAACCAAGCCCTTCCAATAATGTGCCACTGAAATATTCAATTATGATAAATTCCCTATAAGGTTGAGATGTACTGAATAATCTATCTGGTTAACCCACTCTTCTTCTCCAAATAAAATGCCCCTCTGAGCGCAAACACTAATTAACTGTCTTTCTTTCAGACATCCTTACTCTGAATGCTTAACTTCCAAGGACAGAGAGAATGGCATTTCTATCATTTTACCACTGAATCACAGGCAATCTTTTTCACAAATAACATCCCTATAAGACAGACATGTTAATACATTCCCTATTTAACTGGGAGTCATTAACTCAACCAGATCTGTGACTTTTCATTGTCTACTACACAGCTCCAATATATAAACTTGTAATTCTTTAGGGGGCAGTTTGGTGGCAGTCAATAAAATGAAGCATAGAACTGAAACTGCACAATATAGTAAGAGTAGTGCCACCATGGAAGGAAAATAAAAGGCCCCATTCTCAGAATTAATATTCACTTCTTGTAAAAGAAAAGACCTCTTTCACTTACTTTCTAATCCTGAAGTGCCTAATGGATGTTGCCCCCCACACAATGAAAAGAACATATCCTATGAAGTTGCCCCCCACACAATGAAAAGAACATATCCTATGAAGCTACTAGTAAATGAGTATCTCCTAACTGTATCCTAAAGCTTATACTTCATATATATATACATATGTGTGTGTGTGTGTGTGTACACATACATACATACATACACACACATGCTCACACACACACTCAAAGGGCGAGAAAAACAGAAAACTTGAGAGAAAGGGTCTGCAAAGTATATACCTGAAGGAGGTAAAAACGAATTAGTGGAATAGTAAAACTGCTATTTATATTTATTCTTCTTAAACTTTATCTTGTATTTATAAAACATTAGTACAATAATACAAGAATATTTTTTTAATATTGCAGACTTTTAGAAAAAAATGCACCATAAGAAATTTACTGCTATCTTTAACAATGACAAAACCACATCACCACAATAACTAAGACCACAAAAAAGCAAGTGCCTAAAAGGATGCATAACAAAAACAATAAAATTTTGCTTAAACCTTATACAGGCAGTCCTCGGGTTACATCGGACTCGACGTACGTCGTTTCGTGGCTATGTCGCCATCTCCCATTTATTTATTAAAAAAAAAAAGTTCTGTCATTTCGACGTATGTACATATGTGCTTTATGTTTTTAATTATTTATTCACCACAAGTAAAGGTCAGGAATTGTTATCTTTCTTTTAAATTTTTTTTACTGTTTCACTTCATTACTGCTGTGTATGTGCTCCATGTGAGTGACGTAGGTGCTTATGTAGGCGCGTTATGTCGTGCCGTAGGAACGGATCTCTGATGTGACCCAAGGACCTACTGTATATCAAAGCTGAATATATACACACCTTATGACTAAACATTTCCACTTATAGGAATACACCAAACGAATATATGTTCACCAAAGGATACACAAAAGAATGCTCATTCCTTTCACTGGCCCCAAACTGAAACAACTCAAATATCCATCAATAGTAGAATGAATGAGTAAGTTGTGAGATATTCACATAATGTAAGACTGTATAGAAAGGTGAGAATGAACAACTACTATGCAATAACATGGGAGAATCTTCATAATTTCAACATAATGTTGGATGAAAGAAGGCAAACCTACAAAAATACATACTGTGTAACTCCATTCATATAAAGTTCTAAACTGGCAAAATTAATTGTGGTATCAAAAATCAGGGAGGGGTGACAATGACTGGAAAGAGTTAAGAGAATGGCTTCTAAGAAGAGTCTGTAATATTTTATTTCTTCACCTTTGTGAAAACTCATCAAGCTGTACTCTTAAGATCTGTACATTTTTCTATATGTACATTTTCAATAAACAGGGGAAAAATTACATATAAACTGAATTCTGTAAAAATCAATTCATTTTCAATTATAGCAAACACCCTAATTTAAGTCTTTGACAAATCCTTTGGCATACTGCATAAATATTCCTAAGTTATGCACTTTGTAAAGCACAATTTTTAAAATAAATTTATAAGTACGAAAATCATACAGAGTAAGTTTTCTAAGCACAATGGAATTAAATTAGA